ATAGCCCCCATCCGCAGCCTCATCCAGGAGCGCCAGCACGCCCGCTCGTCGGCGTCGTCACCGGGGGGGGGGCCCCCCCCCCCCCCCCCCCCCCCCCCCCGGCGCGCCCCCCCCCCCCCCCCCCCCCCCCCCCCCCCCCCCCCGGCAGAACGGCAGGCATACGTAGGGCAGCACGTCGCTCTTGTCTCGGTCAAGTCGCCGACGGAGACGATGTTGGAGCAGGCGGTCGAGTAGCCAGCGGGGCAGACGCCGGGGGAGAAGTAGCTCTGGTTCGAGGGTGCCCAGCCCGTTGGGAAGCATGCCGCGCTGCTGGTCGAGGGGCCGAGCTGGTAGTAGACGCAGGCCTCCTGGGAGGTGGTGCCCACGGCGCACAGTAGCCCCTCGAATGGGAGCTGGTAGATGTCGACGGTGCAGGAGGACGACGGCGTGAAGGTGGTCGTCAGCGCGGGAGCTTTGTCGGCACGGGCCAATGGCCCAGCCGTGACCAAGGCCGACATGTTCGCTCGCACCGTGGAGAAAGGCGGCTGGGATTTGCCGTCGGGGGAGGAAAATATATTGCAAAGGAACGCTACAATCGCGGATGAGACTCTGAAAGAGTGAAAGACCAGTGAGTGATGGCTATGGGAGAGGAGAACTCTGGCTATGGCGCCAACGATCGCGTGCTAAGGAAAAAATGACGGGAGGAGCAGCCCGATCGACACTGCCCTACGCATAGGGCAGGGTCTTCTCGTAACCGGCGGCAAGGGGGGTGCCCCTTTCGCTTCATGTTGGGAGTCGAAAATCACGTTGCATCGAAGGATCGCGGTATTATAGCAAAGCACTAGCCTATTCCGGTTAGAAACTGCTCAAAACATAATCTCCCACCAAAACGTCTTCCAAGGACGCCGACCTTGGTGCTGCTGAAGTCCAAAGGCAGGAGCAGTTTTACCAGGCTATACAGAGCCACTCTGGGGTCAATTTGGAAGTCAAGGCAGTTCCACCTCTTTTAAATTCAGGATTCATGATGGCTTCAACTTTGGTTTGAGCAGTTTCTAACCGGAATTGGTTAGTACCTCTTTAGAATACCTGCGCCACTTCATGAGAATAGCCTCGATGTATCGAAGCGCTTATGCTCAGAGACCCGGTTACTGTGGTAGGGCTATATGGCGTTAAATAATCGCCATCTAACCGCCGCCAAGGGGCAAGGGATATATGTACACTACCGGAGATAGGTACCTAATTACCGGAAATAGGTAATTGCCGGAGATAGGGGAAGACACAGAGGTAGCTTCGGCGACCATCCTTCGGCCGAGTTCACACGGGGAGGTGACTATCGCCGAGATATTCACACTCTCGGCCTCGTTGTCCGGCCGCTCCGAATCGAACAGTAATAGTAAACGGGCGTGTTTTGAGCCCGTCCCCGAAGTGCAATTTGCTGGCGGCGTTTGGCAATCAATGTCCGAACTGAACTCGGCGCATCCCAGAGACAGTGATATCACATTGCGCGGGGCAATATATAAATACATACCTGCGCGCACCGGAAACGGCATACTACTTTCTTCCGAGACACAACAAGACGATAGACACACAACAAGACAACGGAGCAAAGCAAAAAGAGGCAAACCGCAAGGCAAAATGCTGGGCAAGATCCTCCTCACCCTCGACGCGATCGGCCTCCTATTCGGGGCGCCGCTAGCCGACTACAACCACACGCACATCTTCAACCCGCGCTGGCCGCCGCACGCAAAGTTCCACGGCGCGCAGACCATCACGCTCTCGGTGGCGCTGGGGCTGGCGACCCTGTACAACACGTGGCTGTCCAGCACCGGCACCGGCGGCGGCGCCGACGGGCGCCGCGAGTCGCTCCGCAACGCCCTCTTCTGCGGCACCATCTACTGGCTGGCCGGGATGGCCTCGATCCTGTATCCCGGGACGGCAGGGCTGGATCCCGAGTTTGGCGGCCCGGGGTTCCCGCAGCTGCGCCTCTTCACCGCGTTTGCCGGCCTGGGGGTGGCCGGGTGGTTCCTCGAGTCGAGGTTGATGTGAGGAAGTGGAGTCCCCGGGGTGGGGTTGTGAGGAAGGAGAGTCCCCGGTTGTGAGGAAGAGGAAGGAGACGAGAGTCCCCGGGGTGGGGGGCACTGTTTTTTGGGGGGGGGCTGGGGTTGGTGTTAATGGGGGAGATTGTGCGGCGTCTGATTTGGCGGGAACGTGCAGAAGGTGCAACCTACCACCATGTGGGGAGCCTTTTTAGATGAAATGCTAGCGAGTGGCAACGAACAAATCGAATGCTTTGATTTTCAGCCCTCCGAAGTCTCTGTAACCCTTGTTTTCCCTATTATTAGCGCACCGGCATCCAGCATCCGAGAATTGGTACTTAGCCTTGTGAGTGAGCAACTTGGATTTCTCGAGCACACACTCCCAAGAAAAAGAAAGGCCCAAGACTCACGTTGGTTAGTGTAGGGACTGACTCCACAAGCTTACGACGCATCTCTCCTCGCTGTAACCCCCTGCACATATCCCAACGTGAACTTGGCAGACGAACCTCGAGGAATTCCAAGGTCTTGGCGAAGATTTCAAAGTCTTGGCGAAGTAGCGTGGAGGTTTACTAAATACAGATTCGAGGTACCATAGCGCTTGACTACTTGCAGTGTTGGGATTCCTGGTGATGGCATCGGCAGAAACCCAGGGATCGACCGGCTCAGTCTGACCTGAGGGGCAGGAGTGTGGCGGACTATGGCACACTAGGTACCCAGTGACTACTACTGTGGCAGATGCGATCCGTTGTGGAACAGGCAATTGATCACCATGGGCCATGATTGATCGCAATCTGCCACCTCCCAAGATTTTCTGGGGCCCATGGTGGAGACCCTCGCACCCGTCTACCCGATTTTCTTGTTTCATGCCTCTTCTTCTCTTTTTTTGTATTGAAACAATATAATTTCTTTTGGCCTTTTGCTTCGGAAATCCCATCCTTCCATCGCCAAATCTGTCCTTGAATTCATCCTTTTCTCGCTCTTTTTGACCTGCCCGTTTTCCCCTTCTCCGTTCCCGGCCGTTTCACTTCAATCCCGGCCGGCGCCCCTTTTACGTCACCGTCTTGGCACAGTCTTGGCACGGCCCGTGTTTCGAGTAAAGCAATCGGCGCGGACATCTTGAAGTTCGGACGTGAATACTGCTGAACAAAATCGCCCTAAAATCGCCCGACGGTCTTTATTCGGCCCTCTCCTGGTCGTGGCAGTCGAGGCCACTTCGCAAATTACAGCAGAATTACAGAACCGGCTTGGGGGGGCTGAGTTTGCCACTGCCGACAACCCAGCGCCCTCGTAGCAGCTGGACTGCTGCTTCGCGAGACACGAAAAATTATAACGGCCAGTGAGCTGCAGATATGATCATAGATGGCTTCTCAAGCAACAGTCGCAGAACCTTTGGCCGCGCCGGCGATCGGTTCGGAATGGGGGCATTGCTAGCATTCTTCTCGATGAGGGTATTGCGCGGAGGCCCCAAGATCCTGGCCTACCTGGCTGCCTTCCTTGTGCTGCTCCTTGTGGTCATAAAGATCCTCCCGCAACACCTCACCGAGGCGTCATTTGGACCGGCGAATAACCAAATATGGAACTGGCCAGGCGGCGAAAACGATGCCGGGGGATCGGGTGCGGCTGGCGGCGTCGGACCCGGAACGCTGAGGGTTGTTGTCTTTGGGGAAAACGACATCGCCACTCCTGCCCGGATACAGGGGCTCGAGGACACAAAGCCTCGAAGCTGGACACAGTTTCTCTGTGAAGAGGTACGTGACGATTGACGACGGTCCATACCCCGGTGGCTGTATTCTCCGACTCTTCTGACACTTCTGTTTTTCGCAGTTGAAATGCTCGTCCTACCTTTCCTTCGTCCCTACATTCGAGGGCCCCGGCCGTTCGATGACTTCCAACGGTCTCTACGCCGCTGCCGTCGACGAAGCGTTGAACGAGACTTCGCCCAGCGCCGGACAGGACTACTCTTTTCTGCCAGAGAAGTTCCCCGTAACATGGGACTTGCCAGACATTTCGGATCAGGTCAGCGCGTTCCTCTCCATGGAGAAGCCGGAACAGGCGCCCGGCGAGACGCTTTGGGTGTTTTCGTTCGGCACTTGGGATATCTGGTCGCTAGCCTCGATGCCCCGAGTCACCAGCACTCATGCTATTGATGTCATGGTTGAGCATATCTTCCGAGAGATGGAGCGGCTTTACCTCCACTCCCTAGACGAGGATTCCATCGCATGGTCAGACTCCCGTCTCCCGATGCCCTCTGAGGGCGCAGAAAGTGGCTCGACGAGGCATAGCACTCTGCCAGCCGGTTTCAACGTCACCGCCGTGACAGACGGCATAGAGACAGGAAACAAGGAGAGAGGAAGCAAGGAGACTGGTCGAACCAAGCACTTCCGCGTCCTCGTCCCGAAACTGTTTGACCCGACGCTGACTCCTGGCTGGCACAGCGCTCGCCCGGAAGTGCCCAGTGTACACTCCAAGGCCGAGCAGCTGCGTAACGCCGTCCTGCTCACGGACCTGTGGAACGCTTATTTGCACAGCCGACTGCGTGAATGGGTGGACACGCCCGGCCCAGAAGTTGAGGCTGAGGACGATGCTGAGGACGAGGACCCGGAAGCAGAGGAACCCCTACAGTTACCCCAGCGCGACGCCATCTCGTACGACCTGCCCGCCTACCTCATGGAGATGATCATCGAGGGTCAGCTGCGCAGCGCCGGCGTCAACGATTCCAAGGGCATGGGCAGCAGCATGCCCACCAACCAGACCTTCCGCGAAGTCCGGCTTCCATGTGTCAGTGACTTATCCGCGCCCGACGACGCCGAAGACACAGTCTATACTGGAGGAGAAATCACCGACGCCGAAGAAGCAACCTACAGCGGAGGAGAAATCACCGACGCCGAGGAACCCCCCGAAGCGACACCCACAACCACCGTAACCAGCTCCAAAGCCCCACAATCTCCCCCCTCCACCCGCCACCGCCGCGTCGAGACCACCCAAGACGACGACGACGGCGGCGGCGGCGACGACGACAGCACCGCAGACGCCGAGCCCACCGCCACGCTGCAGGTGTGCTCCTCGCCGCACGACCACCTCTTCTTCACGGCGTTCGCGCTCTCGCAGCGCGCCATCGCCGACGTCGCCGGCGAGGCGGCGGGCATGGTGCGGCGCAACGAGACGGAGCGGGCGCGCCGGGCCGCCGCGGCGAGGGCCGAGGCCGAGGCCCGCAGCTGACTTGCCGCCGCCCGCCGGCGCCCCGCTGTGCTGGTGGGCGGGGTGGCGGCGTTTGGGGCGTGGGTGTGGATTAGGGTGGTGAGGAAGAGGAGGAGGAGGATGGGGATAGGGGAGGAGGGAGGGCTGATGTGGTCTAGGAAGTCGAGTGTTGCCGGTTGGGATGAAGATGGGGAGGATCTGGATGTGGAGCTGCTGGCGCTGGTGAGCCGGGAGGAGGGGTTTTTGAGGGGATTTGATTCTCCGGATACGAAGGCGAGGTAGCTGCTAGCTGCTGCCTGGGTAGATCTTTCTGCATTGTGACTGCATTGGCGGCGTTTTATTTCTAAAGAGGTCTTGGGTGGTACATATTGATTCAAGCTGCTGAATAATAATCCATCCGGTATTTTGGTCATTCTGTAACAGTTGAAATGCTACCTAGTGGGGTCATTGGTTCATTATCGCTTGGATGGGATGTCAGGGTTAGGGTCTGTGCTGCCGGCCGGCAACGGGTACTTCCGACCCGCCCGAGGTCATCGTCATCTTGCAGTAGGATATGAATTACGGGCCCATTCTGGTCCAGCGCGAAGAGCATTCTCAAATCAGCCCCAACGCGCAAGCGAAAGATGAGCAGATCCCCTTCGTCTTCTGGATTATTGCCCATGCCGGGGACTCCATCCTCGTCGTGGGCAGTCTACCGGGCTCGCCTCGCGTCAATCTTACGAAATGCCGATACCTCTGTGATTGCAGCCTTTTGGCTCTTTGGTATGACATTCCCCGCCGGACGGAGACACGGAGTGCGGAGCTGACTATTCGCAGGCCTTATCAACAATGTTCTCTACGTGATAATCCTGTCTGCTGCACAGGACCTTGTCGGAAACATACCGAAAGGCGTCGTCCTCCTCGCCGACGTCATGCCCTCCTTCCTCACGAAGCTCGTCGCGCCGTACTTCATCCATCGAATCCCCTATTCTGTCCGCATCCTGATAATGGCCGCCCTCTCGTCGACGGGTATGCTCATGATTGCCCTCACCCCGGCCAGCCAGCCCGTCGCTGTCAAGCTTATCGGTGTCGTGCTCGCCAGTCTGAGCAGCGGGGGCGGAGAGTTGAGCTTCTTGGGCCTGACACACTACTACGGACACATGAGTCTTGCCGCCTGGGGCAGTGGGACCGGAGGCGCGGGTCTGGCTGGCGCGGGACTGTACGTGCTACTGACCGACTGGATCGGTTTCAGCGTCAAAGCCAGCCTGTTTGCCTCGGCGTTCCTGCCGGGGCTCATGGTGATAAGCTTCTTCATGATCTTGCCACGAGGACCTCTGAACCAGGGTGCCCGGAAAGAATACAGGCCTGTGCCGGAACAGGATCTTCAGGAGGAGGACATGGAAGACATCCCGACGGGTGCCGCATCTTCGAGCCTGCTTGCGCCGGGTCCATCCACCGCTTCGACGGCATATTCTACGCACTCCGAAGGCAGCAAGGGTTCATTCTTCTTGAATCTCCGACGAGCTCGATCGCTATTCTTCCCCTACATGCTGCCATTACTCCTCGTCTACATCGCCGAATACACCATCAACCAGGGAGTCGCGCCGACGCTTCTCTTCCCGCTCGACTCGTCGCCCTTTTCCGAGTACCGAGCCTTCTACCCCTTCTACGGGTTCCTGTACCAGCTCGGCGTCTTCGTCTCGCGGTCGTCGACGCCCTTCATCCGCATCCATCACCTCTACCTCCCGTCGCTTCTGCAGGTCGCCAACCTCGTGCTCCTCGGCCTGCACGCGATGCTCAACTTCATCCCGTCGGTGTACATCGTCTTCCTCGTCATCTTCTGGGAGGGCCTCCTCGGGGGCGCCGTCTACGTCAACACCTTCGCCGAGATCATGGAGAGGGTGCCGGCCGAGGACCGCGAGTTCAGCCTCGGCGCCACGTCGGTGAGCGACAGCGGCGGCATCTGCGTGGCCGGCCTCATAGGTATGGTCGTCGAGGTGTGGCTCTGCGACTGGCAGGTCCGCCACGGCCGCGACTGGTGTCGGCGGATCGAGGCGAGCTGAGACGATTGGCCAGCCAACCCGCGCGTGCAACCCCAACCACAAACTCATACATACCCCGTGGGTAATTTTTGTTGACCGCGGTGCTCCCGGCAAAGCCGGAATTAAATTCGAGCTGGCGACATGCTCCCATGCTAGCGTCAATGACGCGACCTCGGGATGCTACTACCAGGCCCGATTCCCCGCTGCAATCCGACAGGCACTTGCGGAGCCCGCCAATCCGGAGGATTTGCTTCAGGGGTACTCACACGCCTTGATTGCCCCGAGCCACGTGCTCCGCCGCTGAGCGTCAGATCCCATGCCACATCATCCAGACATACTCTCCTCCCGCTAAAACGGCTACTCTTGGTCTCACCTTATTGACAGGCAAGCAGCATGTTGTGGACCTTCCCTGCAACAGACCAAATAACGAAGAGCAATCTTTAGTGACGAGACTAACGAGATTTGGGTGTCTTATACTTATATACCAGACAAATGCCCAGGCCAACGGGACTGGCATCTACGATCTATGGAGTCTATGTAATACTTTAGGTACGATACGATAATAAAAGACATATCCATACACATATATATACGTGCCAGACGGCTTTTCCAAAGACCAATCCTATCCAATCCTGAAGCCAAGATCGCTCTGTAGGTATCCAAACACACAAGACACGTAAAGCCCAAACCCCAAGCGCCCAAAGCAAGAAGTATTCCCCACACCCTCCCCTTCCCCTTCCCTCACACCCCCGTCCACTTCCGCCTCCTCTCCCCACCATCCTCAAGAAACGTCCCATCCTCCACTTGGATCCTCACCTCCGTCTTCCGCTGTATCCTCCCCGGCGGCGGCGGCGTCGGCCTCGCCCCCTCCCCCATATCACGCAGCTCGATGGCCCCGGCCGCCGCCGCCACGATGATTCCCCTCCCGCTCCCTCCACTGCTGCTCACATCGCCGTCGCCGTCCGTCTCGGACCCGGCGGCGTCGACGCCGCTGCCGCTGCGGAGATAGCCGTTCTTCTTCTTGGTGACGGCGACGGCGGCGGTGGTGCGCGACCAGGCCGAGGACGACGCGCCGTCGGGGCCTCGCAAGCCCGGGCCCTTGTTGGATCCGCCCCCGCCGTAGCCGTAGCCGGGTGTCTTGCGGTGCGAGGAGTCGAGGGAGCTGCGCAGGCCGAGCTTGTAGGAGATGAGGCGCACGAGGGGTTGGAGGGCGGGGAGGCAGGCGCACCAGAGGCCGACGTGGCCTTCGAGGTCGGTCCAGAAGGCGATGGTGGACATTTTGTAGGTGCTGAGTGGTGTTAGCGAGTGTGTTAGCAGGAGCGTCCTCTTTTTTCTTCTTCTTCTTCCGTTCCTCCTTCTCCCGGGGCAGGGGTGCTTACGTGTCAATGGCAAAGTCGGTCCGGACCATGATAGAGAGGCGGATGATTCCCGTGATGGTGGCGAAGATGCCGACGCAGAAGACGAGCACGACGCGCATGGTCTTGGCCGAGAGCATCATCTTGGAGTGGACGACCCAGATGGGCAGGGCGATGATGGCCAAGTCGATGGCGATGCCGACGGCGGCGTGCGTCCACATCATGATGGCCTCGCTGTCCTTGGAGAGGCACTTGCCGCTACCCGGCGGCTTCCAGAGATCCCTTTTGCGTCGCCACAGGCGAGTCAGTATTCCCAGGGCCGGCGGATAGGGAGTCGGGATGCTGCGCTTACTTTATGTGCTTGCATTCCAGCAGGCGGAAGAGGAACCCCGCGAGGGTTTGTAGGATGATGGCTGCGCCGGTGACATACACCAGCGTGTTGTACCATGTCGCTCGTACTGCAAGGTCGAGTCAGAGACTGGGCGAGATGGGGGAGGGATCGGCAGGGTGAGTCGTACAATCTCGGCCCAGCCGAAGCAGGAACGCGACGATGGCAATTCGCACAATGCCCACGCACCAGAAGTACATCAGGTGCTGGGTTGTAAGGGCCTATCCGTGGCAGGCAGGATAGGCAGTCAGCTTGTTTGGTATTCGGTTTCGATTCCAGGTGCGCGCCGGATCGCCGACTTACTGCGAAGAATTTCGGGATGAAGTATCCCGGAATCTCATTCATATGCGCTCCCGAACCAAATCCGACAGCTGTATTTTATTTTCACCGTCAGGGGCCGTTTCCCGCAAAAGGAAATGGTGGCTGCTGATCTTACCCCGGATCTCCAGAGCGGAGAATGCTATGAGGGTGATCTACGATCGATCGATTAGGAGTTGTCATATTTCACCATCTCGAAAACCACACAGCCCTTCTGCCGCAGGGAGGGAAGAAATCACCGGCACATACATATGCGATGGCGGACATCAGGTCGTCGAGGCCCAGACCTTTGGTCATAAACGCCCTGACGTAGAGGCGAAGGCCGACGAAGACGGTCGAGAAGGCGATGAGGCACGCATTGAGATCGCGCTGGACAAAGCCCTTGTAGTCGGTCGTCTTGCTGAAGTCGAAGTTACTGGGGCCGGGGCCTCCATCGACTCCGCCGGCTTCCATATTGAGCTCCTTGGGGCAGCTCTGTCGATGAGCACAGAATTGTGCTCAACTGCGGATCTACAAGAAAGAGGGCCCGCTCTCGTGGTCCTACGGATACACTAGGATTTAAGTGTTTTTCCCACGTAGCGCACAGAGGTTGGAGGCGCACCCAGTCTCACTTACACTGCACCCTCCGGCTTGTATCGAATCGCGAATACCGGGGCCCCAAACATGCAAGAACGATTAGCGTGGAAAATCAAAACACGCGGAGCTCGGTGTGCATTAATTTCTCGGAAGGCACGGAATGACATGCAGGTACGGATGTGCATTGGTTACCCCTTTTTCTATCCGTGTAAGTACCTACAGTAGTGGTTAATATTAACCTATCTAACTCCCCACTACAGGTGTAGGATGAAGCTAGCTACCTGCCAACTTAAACAAAATTCAACGTGTTCTTACGTCGACCAGGAAGTCCTACGTAAAAGGGGGGGGATCAAGGTGCTTCCCTCGAATGTTCTTCGTGCGGGCTCTATCTTTCAAAGCCGCCGGCCCACAAGACTAGAAATTACCGCACTGTCTTCTACTCGTAGTTTGATGGGATCTAGAAGCATGACCCTTGTGCTCGACAGGGTCGGAAGAAGAAGCCGCTTACTATGGTGCAGTTCGGTGGTGTGTAAGCCGGGGAAGGGTGGGTCCCACCTAGTCCGTACCTGGTCAGTGTTCGGTTGATCAGGCCAACGCTTCACGTCCAAGCGTACTCATTCCGTAGCTCAGCTAGCTACCGTTCCTAGTGCGGTGGGGACATACACTAGATGCGGTGGTCACAATTGGCCGCCCAGAGAGGCTGACAAGGTTGGTGGCCGGAATGTGGGGGACCTGTTCCGTCCACTATCCCGACCTTCAGTGGACCTCTTGGCTACAACCGAGGCACTTCTCGGCCATGGTACTTCTCGGCCATGGGTGGTGAAGGTGGTGGTGAATTTACCAAGTGAAAGATAAGTAGAATCTGGACAGGAATAAGAGAACGGGTTGAAGCAGCCAGGAGACAGAGTCCCAGCCACCTGGGCATGTAGAAAGTGCGGCCAAAAACCAAGCCCTGAAAAAGGTGGACAAAAAAAAGGGGGGGTGGGGGGCATATTCGTAGACCCGCCTCAGGACTGATAGGCTGGGCTCATATCGGTGATAGGCCACTGATTCTATGCCCCATCAGGAAGTATAGATCCGTTCGAGGTATGGATCCGTATGCGGAGGATGGATTGTGGGAGGAGGATCAGGTCACTCATGCGAGATTATCTTCAGGGACAACAAGTTAACAAACAAACTATTGGCACCAAAATGACAGGGCCCCCAGCAACTTGGCATTCTCGTTTGTCCTGCAATTACCTCGCAATACCATACATAACAAGACACTCGCCAGGCGCAACAGTTCAGGGGTGCCACCTGCAGGTCTCTGTCAGTCTCAGCATTTGTCCTCGACACGACTCTATACGCTAGTACTATCAGGGCTCGGAGTAATGCATTTCTCCTCTGTCTTAACGTCTGCTTTTCTGTTGCTGTTTGCGCAGATCAGAGCAACATCATGCGGTTGCGCCCATCCCGTAGCTCGGCGTGAATGGTACGTGATCACCTGTGCTCTGTTCATCTGTCTCCATCGACGATGGTAGAGCAAGTGATCGGCCTCCCTAGGGCTAACACTTGCCGCCCCCAATAACAGGAGAACGCTTAGCGCGGCCGAGAAGGCAAGCTATATCTCAGCCGTCAAATGTCTACAGTCCGAGCCCGGGTCCCTTGGCCATCTGTTTGATGGCGTGAGATCCCGCTACGACGACTACTTTGCCGTGCATATCGACCTCACGGAACAATATCACTTTACTGTCAGTCTCTGCCCAGCCGTCAATCCTCCGATCTTGCAATCGACTCTAACCTTGACAACTCAGGGGCCCTTCTTACCTTGGCATAGATTGTTTATTTGGCAATATGAGGCCGACTTGAAGAATATTTGTGGCTACACCGGTACCCAACCGTAAGTCTCTGCATCTCATTACAGTGGCCACTTACATGTCCCGCTGTTGATCATTGCAACTAACATCACATGTTAGGTATTGGGGTCAGTCAACCCGTGTCCCATCCTGCTCCATCCACCAACACATCTACCAAGATGATTATTGACTTCGTGACCCGGCACAGATTGGACACTCGATTCACGTAGCGAAGCAGCATTCCTCGCATCACCCGTCTTCAACCCTGCAACAGGATTTGGTGGTATGTCCGAGAAGTCAAATAATTTGTTTCACACATGGCCAGACATCCGTACACGGGCTAACATTGTCACACAGGGAACGGCCCTTACATTGATAGCTCAGGCTTCCCAACCACCAACGTGCCTGTCAAGATTCCCCACAAGACTGGAGGAGGTAATGTCAAAATCAATCCTCCAAATCACGACCCGTAACTAACCAGAGACCTCCAGGCTGCGTCCAGGATGGCAACTTCGTCAACATGACCGTCAATATGGGACCCGGTCCGAGCACGGCCCACAACCCTCGCTGCCTGGCTCGGGACTTTAGCCCATGGCTTGCCACCCGCACCATCAACTCGACTGTTGTCTCGTGGACCTTGTCTGCAGACAGCTTTTCCCTGTTTGACCGCCGTATCCAAGGGCTGGGCCTCGGGGTCGATGGTATGACGAGTCATGCTGGCGGCCACTTGAGCGTCGGCGGTGATATCGGAGATGTTAGTGCAAAAAAAACCAACCCTCACTCCAGAATATTTGTCAATCTTTTTCTCGAGGGAAACTTGGCCGCTAACGGTGTCTCCCCAGATGGGCAACATGTACTCGTCTCCCGGTGACCCGCTCTTCTATCTTCATCATGCCAACATGGACCGTCTCTGGAACCAGTGGCAGCGAGGCAGTACGTTTCCCAAAGTTACCAACCCTGTGCCCTGCTAACCTGAACATCGCAGAATGGGGCAGACGCAAGGGCGATATCACCGGACCGGACACCATGTTTGCGTACCCTTACAACTTCAACGGCGATATCCCGTACAAAAACATCACACTTGACACTGTGCTCAACTACCGGGAGCTACTTCCAACTAGCCGGCCCGTCAAGATCAAGGACGTGATGGACACTGAGAGCGGACGATTCTGTTACAAATACACGTGATAGCATCGCGCTTGAGGACCCTGGGAGGAGAGCTTACTTCTCCTTATTCGTTTCCCACTCTCCAATGTGCTCCATTAGAAGGTTGAACCCTAGAACCTACCAGCATTGAGGCTGTAGAGGTCTCATGTATGGAACAGAGCTTAAAGTCCAAGATGACTGCGGCGCTCTGCGGACTTTTCAGCATATAGAGTTGCTTTTTAGCCTGTACTTGGATTTTATTTTTTTTCATATTCTCATCATCCTCCTACCCAACACAATAATGAAATCACCGGATCTACTATTCAGAATGTCAGTCAAGAATAAGGATGGGTCAATCTATCCGCCCACTTGTCCTGTTTGTTTGTTGGTTATACACCCCAGGCATACCTCCAATTCTTTCATAATTTGAGAACAACAGAAAAAGGGGATCTAGAATTTGATTGATCAGGACGGTTCGCCTCATGTGCCTCGAGGAGGTGCATGGAGAACATTGTCAGCCCACCATCTTCTCGACCGTTCCTGCATGATTTCCACCTGCCTAGCAGACATTACGCTTCTGCAGGCAAGGAGATCCGAGTAGATTGCATTGCGACACGGCCAATTGCCTTGCATTGGCCCACCGGCGACGCGATTCCTTCGTGTCTCCTCGTCGTCGTGCGCCATGAACCCCAGCGCGGCCATCCGTTTCCTGCACCACACTAGGAAGCCGAGATGATCGAAATCGTGCAAATCGGCCTGGAAGATGGGGCTCCATTGCTCGTGTTTCATGGGTGAGATCAACCAAGTCCTGTTAATGTATCTGTCAAGTGGGACCAGGAGTCTGTCTTGCTCGACATACTCGGGCGGCTTCCATTCCTCGTGGTGGTCAAAAAGGGGGTCCCCTTGACAGCATGGATGCTGTACGGCTGGCAGTATGTTGATTGCTTCTGACAGGCGCATCGGCTGCTTCGGGAGGCACTCTTTCAAGGTACCATAATTTATCCATGCAGGAATGTGATGCTCGGGTGGTTGGAAAATTTGGCCGATTGACTTCTGCCGTGCTAATGTGACGGGCCCCGATGGCAAGTGAAGTAGTATTGCTTGTAGGGCATATTCCCACGAATCAGCCTCAAATCGCCGTGCCTCTCCCCAAGAAGGCGAAGCGGTTGCTGCGGGGGGAAATGGCACCAGCTCCGACTCTGGCGCTGGTCCCGGCAACGGAAAGGGTGCCCGCGCCCGCACCGCGGCGTTGACTGAGTGCGTGTACTCACGATTGGTGAGGGTCGGATCTGTTGGCCGGCGAGGCTGTGACGCCAGGACGCGAGCAAGCAGGGTGTGGAAGCAGCGGTGGGCAAGCTGGTGGACCTGTCCGGCAAGAGTGACAACCCGAACCAGCACCGCCGAGGGAAGACCTGTATAACGTGTCAAGAATCGGCGTCCCACTGTGTCTCGGTGCTTGGCTCGCTCCGGTGGGTTCTCGCGGCGTGGCCCCCAAAGTGTGTCTCGAAGATCATTGGGCGACTCAAGAAGGATGTTGTGCCCATCCGGGCCCCAGACCAACAGGGCAATGAGGCGCACCTTGAACTGGGTGGGGTACGCGAGATTTGATGAGATGATACTCTCAACGATCTCTGCGGCAGGGCCATCCTCGTGTAGCAGGCTGTTCACAGCCGGTGATGCGCGGCGCAGGTTCTGCAGGGTGTGGAGATCGGGCAAGAGCTTGAGGATCTCACGGAGAATATCCGGTGGCACGACACCAAAGCGATCCATCCTTTGATACATACGTGCGGCGTGTCTATCAGCCAATGCTACTACTAACTTTGTTGATGCAACTAGCTACCGCTCAGAAAATGTGGAGAACTGGGTCGCGCTCCCGTTTCATGACCGCTGCTTCGACCTACTGAGCAGGGCGCTCATAGGATCTGATGATCGCAGCGAGATCGACAAGGATAAGACAACAGTCTATCCTATATACAAGGCGATGATCAGCAGATAACTTCGCCTTCCATTAAGGCTGGTATGGAGGTATCCACCTTCAGGGCCTCGGCCGGAAGAATAATGCTGCGGATACCGACCACTCGGATGGGCCCGCCCGGCCCTAACCCCACCTTAGGTTTCAACTGACTGACTCAACTTCTTGAAGACAGCTTCTCAAAGCGGCCCTCAACAACGCGCCGCAGCCTAATTCACCCACCATTATGGCTCCGACGGGCACCAGTTCGACCGGGGATCTCACCTCGGAGATCCTCCAGGCATTGTCCAAATCCGACCAGATCTTGTCCACTGAGGCCTTCGCGCAGGTCCCCTTCGACTCGGTGAAGGCTGCCTTGGATCGCCTTTCTGCGCGGTCCATGGTCACGTACGAACAGATCGAGCGCGATGAGGCACTTCTAGAGCCGGAGGCGGAGAATATCGTCAGCCATGGTAGCCACGAGGCCCGTGTCTTCGAGGCGGTGCGCAAGGCAATGGGCGGCCTGTCAATTCAGGAGCTCGAAACCGAAATCGGCGACAAAACCGTCACGAAACTCGGCCAGGGCAAGGCTTTCAAGGAGAAGTGGATCAAGAAGGATGGCAGCAAGATCGTTGCCCTGGTGAGTGTCTCTCCGCCTCAGTGCTGCGAGATCTCGAAGCTGATGGCCGCCCCTGCTAGGTTGATTCGATCCACGACGTCACCCGAGATCAGCTTCGCATGATCCAAGAAAACAAAACACGCGACGGCAAGATTCTGGCGGATCTGAGGAAGCGCAAGCTCCTCAAGTTTCAAAAAGTCATCTCCTTCAAAATAAGCAAGGGACCCAAGTATGCGCTAGAGATTGTGAAGGAAGAGACGGATCTGACGGCCGAGATGTTGGCGTCCGGTTCATGGAAGTCGGCAACGTTCAGTGAGTGGCTTTGGAGGAGATAAATTGCCTTTCCAAGAGTGTCTTGGCAGCTGGCCTGAGCAAGTGCTTCTTCCGGGGACGCTGACTCTCCTGCGCAGCCCATGACTACAATCCGCTGAAAAGGGGTGAAAACTGACCCAAAGTGTCGCAGAGCCGTACAACTTCAACGCCTTGGGCGCCGACCAGCACGCCGGATCTCTACATCCCCTTGGGAAGGTGCGGCAGGAATTCCGGTTAGTCGAATCTCAGCGTCAGAAATTGCCGGGATGAGCTCGTTTCTAGGGGTTGGGTCATCTCAACCCCTGAGACATGCTCCTTGCACACTTTGGCCTCCAAATTACCTTGTCATGGCGGGATATTCTAACTTCGAGTGTCTCTCTTCTCCGCAGACAAATCTTCTTCGAGATGGGCTTCACAGAGATGCCCAGCACTCAGTATGTCGAGTCCGGATTCTGGGTACGTGTCTCTCAGCTTTTTTTAAGCGCATGTTAAGAGTTATCTTGGGAGTTATCTTAGGAGTATGCCCTTCAGAGGCTGCTCTCTCTTTCTGGACCGCAGCTACTCCCAAGGCATTGCGATATACTTCTCGAACTCTTGAGGACCTGTCTGACCGGACTTGCTAACTCTGAGGGCCGCACAGAACTTTGATGCACTCTATGTACCTCAGGTATGATTGTCGGAGAAGGCACCTGTACTTCGTTATTCTCTAACATTTCGAAGCAACATCCGGCGCGGGATTTGCAAGACACCTTCTACATCTCAGACCCGAAGACGGCCGGTAGGCCATGCCCGGTATCCCCAGACGACAAGCAGGACTACAACGAGTATTTCGAAAACGTAAGGCAAGTCCACGAAAACGGAAAGTATGGGTCGATCGGCTACAGATACCCCTGGTCGGAGGACGAGTCACTAAGGTGTGTAAATTTATACCTAATGCTTCCAGTTATCTTTGACTAACTTAGCGCGGACTTGTATTGCGGACACACACAACTGCCGTCTCAGCTGCCATGCTCTACAAACTGGCAGCATTGGAGGGCCCTGGTGGCCGCTGCCCGCCGGCTCGATACTTCTCCATTGACCGAGTCTTCAGGTAATAACCCACCTACCGGATGTGCTGGCGCTGAAGTGGACTGTCACTCACACTCTCCCAGGAATGAAAGTGTGGACGCAACCCATCTTTGCGAGTTCCACCAGGTGGAAGGTGTGATTGCCGATTACGGTTTGACCTTGGGAGGTCTTATGGAATTTATGGAGACTTTTTTCGCTAAGATGAGCATTACGGAGTAAGTCAACCCTCGGAGCTCAACCTCTCTCCGGAGACCCTCTTCATCCATCTTTGTCTTGGCAATTACTAACCTCGAATCCCCCGCAGCCTCAAATTCAAGCCAGCGTAAGTCTTCGCCTCGACTCTCCATGTTGCTCCTTGCCTCTTTTGGTGGCGTTCTTGGGACAACCTACATTGAAAGCGGATCTCGGAAAGGATCTAGGTCCTTCATGTATTCTGAATAAGGCAACTGCTGACTCCCTCTATCACAGCTACAACCCCTACACCGAACCGAGCATGGAGATCTTCAGCTACCATAAGGGGTTGAACAAGCTTATTGAGATCGGGAACAGCGGCATGTTCCGGCCGGAGATGCTGGAGACCATGGGTCTGCCAAAGGATTTGAGGGTATATGGTTTCGGCCTTAGCCTGGAGAGGCCGACCATGATCAAGTACGGCATCTCCAACATCCGCGAGCTGCTCGGCCACCAGGTGGATATCAACTTCATTAAGAAGAACCCGGCGGTACGGCTAGACAAGAACTAGGTTAGACGGCGGGCGAGGCAAAGAGCGGCCGCTTGACGACGACGTATGGGTGAAAAAAAGAGCTGTCTTGGGATACTTTTCCTGAACAACTAGGGTCTGAGCGCGTCTAAGTGCTGCGTAATGTATCGAAAATCCCCAGAGCAGGAGTGTCTTTGAAGATATCAGGCGCAAAATATAAACCAGCTTTTGCCAATGCTAAAATTTTGTACCCTCATCCGCAGCCAGTTGGGCCACTTCGCCGGTCGTCAATAACAGTGGGGAGGTGGTTAAGGCGGCAGGGCCGAGTTTAACGCTACCATAATGAGTGACGGGAATAAATATCCAGCTCATCTCTTAGGACATACTCGTATCCATGGTGTGTAAACTTAATTACGGACAGCCTCTCAAATTTACTACAGTAGTCAGACGTAGATGAGCAGGCATAAACCCATTCCATTGCATTGTCCTGCTTTGCTGTAAACCTCTCGAGGAGAATGTACAGTATAATATAAACTAGGCGAAGGAAGCGTTCACTGGATTTCTATTCAGCATAGAGGACTATGTTAGTCATTGTAGCCACATAGCTAATAGGTGTTACGTTCCGGATGACTTGAAAACTAAACCTGGTTTGAGAACGGCTAGTGCGATTATAAGTTTGAAAGAGCCATCATCTCCTGGGTCAATAATTGACAAGCACGAAATTGTGGAAACCATTTAAGAAGAAGAGGAACGAGGTAAGTTAATTTGAAATCCTAATCTCGATGTTTTATACATGTGTCATTGTTAGGGACGCTTACGAACGCAGCATTCGGCTTGGGATCCCGACACGGCCACCGAACCGGGGTTGAGCTGGGACCCGCAGTAGCATTCGCCGCCGTCTGTGGTTGAGATTACGGGTCAGTACCATTTGCTTCTCTGATCTTTGTACTTTGGATGGTGGTGTTTGGGGAAACGGGGTGAAATATGATCATGTGGAAAGCAAAGGGCAGCTGAATGTCCAAAAAAGGGTGGGCACTAAGGCAATACCAGCTGTTACTAGCAGTTGCATGCTCGTGATAACTTATACTCTTGGTAATAAGCCCACTGGAATTTACCATGGGAACACGACGCAGGTCCTTCCTTCCCGCGCATGTTTGGAGGCGAGGACGACAACGGCCGCTAGTTGCCCATCGCCATCCACCTCCTACTCGTCAGGCCTTAAAAATCGGCCGCCTGACGAGTACTAGTACTCAGGCATTGAACCCGAAGTGGAGAAGATCGGGTCACTGCACTTTATGTCTCACTACTGCTGGCCTAAAGGCTACAAATTGCAAGACAACTATTCTCGTTCCCGCGCAACGGCTGGGAAAAGCTTTTTCACTTCCTCAACAAGATCTTCTCTGGAGACAAGTTGGTCTCGATCTTTCTGATCCGTCTCCTTGTCGCCAGCCCGCGCATTCTTCAACCTAACTTGACCGGCCGCAAGTTCGTCCTGGCCAAGTATGACAGCAAGGGGTACGTCTTTTGAAGCATTGAACTGCGGAGGCAGCTTGGGCTTCACCTTGGCGGTGAACTCGGCCCGGATGCCGGCGTCCCAGAGCTGGCGAGCCACCGCCATGCGGTCGAGAAGGAGTCCATCGTACTCCTTGCCACCAGCCGCCACGATGTAGACATCGACCTCGCGGGTCAACTCGGACGAGCTCTTATTCCGTCGCGCGTCTAAGATGGTGAAGATACGGTCTATCCCAAAGGATAGGCCGACACATGGAATGGGATGCTTGCCGTACATACCCACTAGACCGTCGTAGCGCCCGCCTGCGGCAATACTGCCGATCTGACCGAGCGAATTTGTGCTCGCAGGGACAACCTCGTATATCAACCCAGAGTAATAGTCGAGACCTCGAGCAAGCGAGAGGTCAAAGGAAACCTTGTCGACAACGTCCAGAACCTCCAAGTAAGAGACCAAGAGGCCCATATCGTCGAGTCCTGCTTTCACGCTTTCGTTTGCGTCAAGTCTTGGATCCGACTGGAGAAGGTTGATCATCTCGCGAAGGCCACCGCTGCGCCTCACGTATTCGCCGATTCGGTCCGCAACCTCTCCCGAAAGACCTTTCTCCTCGACCATCTCCTTCTTGACGTCGATCCATGTTGCCTTATCGAGCTTGTCCACTGCCGAGCTGATGAGGCGATTCTTTTCCTCGGGAACGCCGGCAACCGCGAACGAGCCGTCAAGGATTCGTCTGTGGTTGAGTTTTATGGTGATATCCAGCTGAAGGCCCCTAAAGACCTCAACGATGATGCGTAGGATCTCGGCATCCGGGATCATCGGGTCGTAGACGCCGGCAATGTCGAAATCGCATTGATAGAACTCGCGCAGTCTACAACGGGATATCGCAGGTTGGTCTCGCCGGTAGACCTTGGCGATTTGGTAGCGCTTGATGTGTTGGACATCGGTACGCATAGCCAGCCAGCGAGCGAACGGGACTGTAAGATCGTATCGCAAGGAGCAGAGCTCGCCGCCCTGGTCCTCCAGGTCGTAGATCAGACGCGAATCCTCGCCATATTTCTCTGCGAGCACATCCTTGAGTTCGAAGGCGGGCGTGTCTAAAGGAATGCCGCCGTGGCGCTTGAAAACATCGGTGACGGTCTGGCTGTTGATGACTTAGCGGGGTAACTCATGGGCATCGATCCACAGCACCTACAAGATATGGTCACGTAGGAGCAGGTCCCAGCCGACCCAGTCGCGGGTGCCTTTGGGCGTCTTAAGCTGAGCGCGTGGACGAGACGGTCTAGCGTTGCTAGTTGCCATATTGCTGCCTAGTTGCGGGCAGGCGCGAGAGATTGCCTTAGAGAGTGTCACAGTCGGCGGAAAAGCATGCGTGGTCAGAAGATTCGCAGTGCAGCGTGCTTCTTCTGCTTGCCTAAAACTACCTATCCAACTCTCCAATTGGCTACATACTGTGACTCAGAACACTGGAATAATAAGCAACGGGGCCGGTTATCGATTGGTCGATAATTGGTCGTTGATATCACGCGCTTGGGGGCTTGGACACTTGTTGGTTCCAACAAATTTCATCCTACATAGGTAAGTCTTGAAGGCCTGGAGGATTCCTTCGAACCCGGCTTGGAAAATGTGACTGTCTGGGCAACGTTGCAGCCTTGGAAAGGCTCGGGGTTCACCCGCTTAATTGCAAAAGTGTCGGCAATAACAACAATATGCATAAAAACAACGATAGCCGCATCCGAATCTCCTCAAAAATCGAATCAAGAGCGCACTGCTGCTGCCCTGTTTTTCACGAATCGGAAACACATTGGGGCATATCTTCACCCAACAAGAGAATGGCCCTCGAGATCACATCAATACAGAACCTCTGCTGCCTTTGCCAAGATTTTAAGAAGAGCGACATGACTTTAAGCTCTTGTCTACTTTACAGAGGTCGCTACCAAAAGAATGGGCCCACCGCCTAAATTGGGGGTCGCTGGGACTTCAGTGGCGCAAACCCCTACCAATTTTGATAGGTGCTAAGTGCTAGTGGACATAGCGCCTAGCTTCTCTATAGGTTACTAAGATTATTCTACCAGCACTTGAAAGCCGGTAGGCCCATTCATTTGGAGGCAGCCTCCCATACACGATCAAAACAACGTCACCTATCTAGCTGCTTCTAGAAGATTCTGAAAATAGATGAAAACAGATAAATCCATGAACCCCCCAGACCCTTCGTGTGCCACGCTATGATAGGAAGAAAATAACCTTAAGTTGATAGCAGAAATATAAACATGGTTTTAGGATTGAAGCTGAAGCAGCTTGGCGATAGCCTCATGCCCCCCACCAGCAGCTAGAGATAGTGGCGTCTGACTATCTTTATCCTTTGCCTCGAAATCAGCCCCTTCCTTAAGAAGCAGCTTGACGACAGCCTCATGCCCTTCACTAGCAGCTAGAGATAGTGGCGTCCGACTATCTTTATCCTTTGCCTCGAAATTAGCCTCTTCCTTAAGAAGCAGCTTGACGACAGCCTCATGCCCTCCACCAGCAGCTAGAGATAGTGGCGTCCGACTATCTTTATCCTTTGCCTCGATATCAGCCCCTTCCTTAAGAAGCAGCTTGACAACAGCCTCATGCCCTTCACTAGCAGCCTGCGACAGTGGCGTCTGACCATCTTCATCCTTTGCCTCAAAATCAGCCCCTTCCTTAAGAAGCAGCTTGGCGACAGCCTCATGCCCTCCACTAGCAGCCAGCGACAGTGGCGTCTGACCATCTTCATCCTTTGCCTCAAAATCAGCCCCTTCCTTAAGAAGCAGCTTGACAACAGCCTCATGCCCTCTACCAGCAGCCTGCAACAGTGGCGTCCAACCATCTTCATCCTTTGCCTCAAAATCAGCCCCTTCCTTAAGAAGCAGCTTGACGACAGCCTCATGCCCTCCACCAGCAGCCTGCAACAGTGGCGTCCAACCATCTTTATCCTTTGCCTCAAAATCAGCCCCTTCCTTAAGAAGCAGCTTGACGACAGCCTCATGCCCTCTACCAGCAGCCTGCAATAGTGGCGTCCGACCATATTTATCCTTTGCCTCAAAATCAGCCCCTTCCTTAAGAAGCAGCTTGACGACAGCCTCATGCCCTCCACTAGCAGCCCATAACAGTGGCGTCCAACCATCTTCATCCTTTGCCTCGAAATCAGCCCCTTCCTTAAGAAGCAGCTTGACGACAGCCTCATGCCCCTTCCTAGCAGCTAGAGACAGTGGCGTCCAATCATCTTCATCCTTTGCCTCGAAATCAGCCCCTTCCTTAAGAAGCAGCCTGACAACAGCCTCATGCCCAAAATATGCTGCTACCCCTAGAGATGCAGAATGCTTGTGGTATACCCTATACACAGTTCGATAAATTTCGAACCATGTTGAATAGCTCTTCGAATCTGTATTACAAATTCTCAGAGCATAGCGTACTATGGCAGCGTCATCGCTGAAATGAGCCTCGCGAAAGTGGGCCGCCCAGTTTTCGGCCGAATAATCCAAGAAGGTGGAACTATTGATGTATTGACTGGATGCGCTGCCATCTGTTAGGACAACGTCGGAATTGAAGAAGTCAAGATGAACCACACAAGCCTCCGCAAGCACCATGTGTGCTTGCCTGGCAGTGATGGAGTGGTGCCAACGTCGCTCTGGCGGAACATTTGCAGGTGAATCTGCAAGAAGAAATTCTCGAGCAGTTTGATGCAGGAAATAAACCTTTCCATGATAGATCGACACGAAGAGCCCACACCAAGATCTGAGGCTCGATTCAAAGTCCTCTTGACTTTCAAGGTCGAGGTCTCTCATAGACCGTGACGAGATCTCAATGTTCATGGCGACGCTCATTTCCGCTAGCGTCAGCGGCCGGCTCGCTGCCAAGATAATACTCAAGGCTTTCTGAACATTAGAAGGCTTCTTAGATCTGTTAAGGATCTTCTCATACGCCTCGTTGACACTTTCTGGAAGCGTTGCGATGGCATCCTCGACGCCCTTTGGTGTCTTCTTGAAGCCTTCTCTCCTCAAGTAATCAAAGACAAGATATACCCAAAGGTATGTGCGATGTTGGATTCCTAGCAGTCGTTTTTGCAGGTGATCCTTGATGAGGGTTGAAAATGCCAGCTTGTTGACTTGGTAAGTGATGACGCGATTCACTTCTTGGCTAATGGCTTCCGACTCTGCTTCTCCTGGTATGCGGATATAGGGAAAGGCACCCACAAGTTCATGGAACTCTGACACGATGTGTTCGTATGGGCGGCTGGTCATCAGGCACTTTATCTTGCGACAACCCCATCTGTCTCTGTGAAATAACCGTGTCAACATCCGAGTCAAGTCCTGGAGGTCCGATTCGGCGCATTCATCCAGCGCATCCAGGACCATAATCACAGGTCTATCCTGCAGGTCTTGTCCAGCTTTTTCCAAGATATCCCACAGTGATGTTGTGATATTTATAAGGCGTTCTCCGTTCTTGGAATACTCTGGCAAAGCGTGTCGGATCAGTGAAGGCTGGTGGGAGAAGAGCTGGTGTAGCAATGCGCAAAGTGCCTGATTGACGGTCATCTGGTCCTGGTCTTTGAAGAAGAAGTAGCAGATGGCTGCTGATTGTGGGAGTCCCTGGTCGATCAGGTACTTGGCCAGGACGGATTTTCCACACCCAGGGTCTGCTGAGACCAGTAAGGGCCCAGAATCTTGCTTGAGCCACGTCTGGAAGTTTTCGTGGTTCAGAAACCACTGACAGGTGCCTTCTATCCGGGCCTCCACGCGGCTTTTATACCACTCGTATGTCGTGTTGTTTTTGCCAGTTGTAAGGCGGAACAGCTGGTGGCACTTCTTCTCTTCGTCAGAGAGCGACCGCTTGAAAATGTTTTTCTGAACCTGGAGGTGTTCTTTTGCAATATCTCGCAGCTCTGTAGTGACTGACAGAAACGCTTGCATAGACTCAAGGGACTCGTCTGCGGTGCTGTTGAGTTCCTCCAGCTCCTGCCTCAAGGCAACACCACTTATGTGCTTGAAGTTGTTGTCTAGTGTCGTTTCGCGTTCCTTGACCTTGGATAGCATCGCAGCCCAGTCCTCGCGGTGGACCAGATCCCGGCCAAGGTTTCCGGATCGGCTCCGATAGAATCGTAAGACGCTCCTAACCTGGAACTCAAGAACATGTCGATACAAGTCCACGATATCAGCCTCGAATGCCTCCTTCAAATTTTCAGGAATGGAGACGGCCTGGTTGTGGCTCTGCGGCAGCAACAGAGGCTCTAGGGCGACGTAGAACCGCATGCGGGCTGTGACATACGTGAACCCATCCCGATTCGCTTGCTCTGCGACGCTGGGTTGGGTCAGGAGCGGGAGTATGACACAAACGCCGGCCCAGGCCAAAGAGGCTTCCGGAGAAGCCTTGACGGTTTCGTCAATCAACCCTTTCGCCCATTGAACGAACCCCGCAGCCTGGGTAATCTGATCCTGTAGCACATATTCGTGGCCAGCAATCGTATATTTGATTTTCCTTTCATCCACCCGTCGCAGGCCACTGTTGATTATTGTCTTCATTTGTTCCTGGCGTTCCAAGACATTCGAGTGGTCGATCCGGTTCTCCACCTCGTCTAAGCTTTCTTCGGCTTGATCAGGCGCTGTGTTCTTGTAGGTGTTCGACTTGGAGCCTGCGCGAATGTTAGCGGCAGCAACATCTCAGTAGTCTATAATTACACACCTGTCGCCGGCAACTCCTTGGAAAGCAATTTCTCGTACGTCTCGACCAAACTCTGATTCTCTGTTCTCAGGGCGGCATACGCACGGTCCCAAAGTGTCTCTGCGGTATGCGACTGGCTGTGCTTCGGCGGATGGCGGTCGTGAGCCGGCATTTGCGGCCCATCAGCTCCGTGTTTCCATCCCTCGACGGTAGCACCGGTCGGCAGACTAGCCTCTTCGTGGAGCCTCTCGGAGGACGAGGGCAATATGAGCTTGTCTCCTTCAAGGTCGCCGCATGCTTCGCTCCGATTCCGTCCTGGCAGGTTTGGGGAATTCAATGCCGCGTTGGGGCTGGCTAGCTGGTTGGTGGTTGCTGCAGGAGGGGGGGTAGAGTGAGTCTCCACGATTGCCGATCGAACTGGGGATTTGCGCGCAGCCAGAGTCGCATTTTCAGCAGCCTGAGGCTCAGGATTTGCTAGGGATTGTCAGTTGGAGAACTGCAAACTGCTTTGCCAGTTCACGATCTTCATACCTATGGGCGGCGTCGACGGAGCGGAAGCGGCGTTTGCCTGATCCTTCAGGACGCCGTCGTGTTTGCCGTCGGGCTCCTTAGCTCCTGCGCCAAGGCCTCGGCGAAGAGCCTCTAAGCGTTTTTTGGCAACCGATCTTAAACCCATGGTAGCGAGACCACTTTCTGTCGAGATGTGTTTGATACAGAAGAATGACCGGAAGGGGGGGTTGATGCCCAATTTCAGCGGTAGGGGTTTCGATTCTGGCGCGCGGCACGAGGCCCAATCACGTTCCTCTGATCTGAAGAAGTCATCACCTCAACAAGCACAGACGCGGCGGCCTGCCCGAACCAGTTCGGATGCTCTAAACCGCCTAGACACTTCAGAGAAGGAATAAACCATGCCCATGATTGGCCTGGGATTTTCCGTGGCTAGAAACTCCGAGGTGCACCATGGCCGATGACAGATAAGAAACTTGTGGTTTTCGGCATCACAGGAACAATGAGGCAACGCCGAGTCACCGGTCTTTCGCTTCAAGCCAGTCAACCTGGTTGGAGATGACAGCCACTGATGCACCCATGCCATGGCCTTGGAGAATTTCCTGCACAGGAACAACTGCCGGGGTCAACTTGTGGGACAATGGAGATCCACTCAATATCTGGATTGGTAGTTAGACCTGCTTCAAGCAGTGAAAAAATAAGCTCTCCTTGCATAACCAAGAGAGAGCTGTAGGGGGATAGAATCTAGAGTACTTAACTCCCCGGAATTTCCTAGGTTCCTTGCTTTCCTTTTCAGTAGCTTCAATATATAGTAATTATATAGCCTAAATGAGGATATGGCACGTTGCCCACAACCCCTCTCGATATATATAATATAATCCAACAAAGAACCACCTCTTGCACAGTATCTGCCTCACAATGGTTCGTCACAGTCTACAGAAAGCGGCCCTCAGCCTGCTGGGCATCGCCGCAACGTCAGCGGCGCGGGCCATACTGCCGCGGACCGCCGCGGAGCAACAAGCCGCCCCGTCGAGCAACCTGCTAGACTATGCCTCCGGTGGCGGGGCATCATCCAGCAGCGGGGACGCCGCGTGCGACTTCACCGTTGCGGCCGGCGCCCTGGCGTTCCCCAACGCCCGCATCGTCCACCAGCAGGGCGGCTTCGTCGACTGCAACGCCCGACTCCTGCTTTCGGATCTGCCGGCGGGTTACCAATTCTCTGTCTCGAGTGCCTCCGTGGCGGGGTACCTGAATCTCGAACCGGGGACCTATCTGGATAAGATCGAAGTGCAGCTGGCTTACCCGGGTCTGGGAGGCAAGGTGTGTCTCTTTTCTTCTCCTTCTCTCTTCAGTTCAACTCACTCTCGATAATTAGTCTTCTCTTTCGGACGTAGGCAGTGTCAAGAATGCATACGGCAAGTCCGGGACGGGGTACGACGGGGTTTTCGACATCTCTCTACCCATGTCACCCGTATCACGAACCGGTTCGCTGGCCGTATCGCCATGTTTCACGTCGGCAACAGATGATGGGACGACGCTGGCGGTGGAGCTGTTTCTCTCATTGGTCCACGAGCAGATCGAGTTTGATGACTCGACTCCCCATTATGGCTCTGTGGGTGGTGACGGGCCCGATCAGCAGTTGAGAGTTGGCCTTGAGGCCGAATGGTCGAAGTGCTAGGCAGTTGGTGCTAAAGTGGCCGGGGGCGGGCGCTGCAGAAAAGTCAGACATTTGATGAGCCAATAATCAGAGCTAGGTAGAAAGTGAGAGTCAAGCCGAACCACAAACTAAGGCAACCAAGTCTCGAACACACTCATCCTATGAGATTCCCCAGCCTGACTTCCTGCAACACGAACAGGCAGTTTCAAGACGTAAGGGGACGTTTTCCACATGACAAATCTGAGACATTGAAATACTGGCAAACTCAGATCTTGGAATTTTGGTGAGCGGCCAGTTTGAGTGTCTCAACTGTGGAATTCATTCTCAATTTTAATTGATGACTAGTTTGTGGACCGGCAGCCTGGGGCCGGGATGGACGAAGACGGCCCAAAAGTTCAACAGAGTCGGGGTCCAGCGGGCGATGGGGACGACGACACGGAGAGCCACCGCTTTACGTTGCGCACCGTCATTGCTGGGCTGTCAGTTGGCGTTCTAGTCAATCTGACGAACACTTATTATGGAACGGCCAACAGGGTAATATCATAGTTGTTGCCAGTGGACTGATACTTGGGGAGTTTATTGCCAGCCTTGTTGGTGTTGCTCTGATGGCATTACATGTCCCTCAACTTGGCAGTAATAATTGACGTTGAGTGCCGCAGATTATGTCCTCCGTTTATATCTTACGATATAACATTTGAGTCAACACCCGTGCTCTTGGTTTGCTTCAAAGTATCCAAATCGTTTACTTACAAATATCTCAATATCTTTACACAGTCTGCTAGAAAATAAAGCAGCGTCAGATGTTCGCTAGCTAGACTCAAGTAGCTAAAATTGTAAAGCATTTTAACACAGTAGTTAGGGTAACCATTAGGCCAACTTTAACACAATTAGGTTATTAAAAGGGACACTTGTACCTGCAATTTACAAGTATCAAGATGCCTCCCACATTGAGACTGAGGAGAAGACACACACATTAACCCTGATCTGCAGGTTGGAGCTTCCAACAGTGTTAGACACCTATCTGGTTGCCCACCCCTAAGGGCGCTCTATACCCAATCTAATTGTCTAGAATAGGGTGTAGCTGCAATGCCAAGGTCCCAACATGCTCTCCAGTGCAACCTCTGTTGTGTCTCTCTCGGGCTCCGCCTCCCCTTTCCCCGTCTTCGCTCGCGCAGCTATTTCGTTGCAATGTTGGTGTGGTTGCAACATACCGCCATTATTTCGCGAATGCAAGTCCTTGATCTTAGTTGTCAAGGTTTCCACGGGAACCGGAAAGTCCCAAGCGCGCTGCGCCAAAGAGTCTTGTCAGACACCATCGATTTACAATGTAACATCCTTGCCACTCCTTTCTTTATTAACAATACCACCTGCCGCGTTAGATCCCTGAGTGCTGAGACACGTGCGTCAAAAGATTCATTAAGAAATAAATGCATACGTAAACTATCACCTGATCAGGCCAAGACCGCCAGGCTGCCACCTGCCCCTGCAGTTTAACCACTTCCTCTCCCTGAGTTCTTGAAAGTCTCGACGCGTTTTACATTCAACGTCACCACCTTGGATCATCGCCGTCGGCACTTTAAAGCTCTCTCCAAGATGATGACTTCTACCAATAACGATTGCACTAATGACAGCGTCTTGAACATTGTCATTAGCAGGTTGCGTCACCCGCATTCATCAGCTGCCTTCACCTTCACCTCCTTATCTAGCGGTTTGCTGATCTTGTTTGTGTCTACAGCATCCTCCTCGGGCTGACCGCCCTGTCCTTCATCCCTCAGTATTATCGCATCTTTCCCGAGCCAGCAGCGCCGGCATCTCCCTTGCCTATGTCTTGCTCAACCTCATGCAGGCCACGGAGCACTTCGCCCTCGGCTTCTATCTCTTCATCGAGCACGAATACGATAGCGGTGACTTTGCCCCAGTTCGACACGGACTGTTGTCGACTACCTCAACGTGGCCCAGCTTGCGCTTGTCTGCGTCTACTTTCTCGGCTTGTAAGTCCTGTCTCGTCGTCGTCGTTTTACCTCACAGAAGGAAAGAAAAGGAAGGCTGACCAGGGCGGTTCAACCGATTAAATTAGATTCATCGCCTGCATCGTCTTGCCGCCGCATGGTCGCCGGTTCGATGTCATGACTGCAGTCAGTGCCTACGTGGGTTGGGTACTAATCGCCTTCTTGCCCATCTGGGACTACATGAGCTCGCCGCCACCCTATCGCAGGTCTTTCTTCGCCATATCTAGCATCCTCCATGGCATTCTTATCCCACTGGGTACCATCTTCGGCATCGCCTCCCTATTCCCTCAGGCCCGACTGCTCCGCTCGCGAACGGACCCGGGCGCAGTGAGCGTCCTAGCCCTGGTCTTCCAGACTGCCATCTTCGCACTAAACGCCGGATACTGGCCCCTCCGCGTCACGTTCAACTGGCAAGGCTGGTCACACAGATACCACGGATTGCACTTGGTGTTGCTGTGGTACATAATCACCGGCTGGGTGACCTTTGACACGGGCGTGTTCGCCATCGTACAGGGGAGCTTGCTGGCCATCGTGAAATGGCAGGCGAGCGGCGCCACAAGCGCCGAGACCGAGCCGCTACTGGTCAGGTAGCCCCCGCGGTCGATGAGGAGGGCATGCATGAGTTACAGGACTGTTCGGTAGTGCTAAACGAGGAGCTGGCTGTACCTGCTACGGCTAGGTTGAGGCAAGATAACTTGAAACAGAATAGCCAGCCTCAAGGGTCCTGTTATTATAGCCTAGTAAGCTATTGGCTATGTGGGAAACCGATTGATTAGTGGATCAAGCAAGGACAGGCGTCTGATTGAAAGAATCTCCGCTAAGAGGCAAACCTTGACACAAGGATACTCCTTAATTTCAAGCACATTGATAATCATATATCTTCCCTAGCTGCTGAACTTGGCCGTCGACTTGGAGTGGGTGAGTCGACATTCCATGTTGTTGCAAATGCCAGGTTAAAAGAGCAAGTATCTGGATATGTACTGTCTGTAAAAGCCAGTGCCCAAATTTCCAACTGCCTTACAACCCCTATTCTAACGCATAAATGACCATCAGCCTTCAGATGGCAGATAGTGTAGGTTATAGGTTAGAGCAAGGAGAGATGTATAGCACAGATTAGGGACTGGGAAAAGACACATTCCCGCAGAGACATTCTCTGGATGTCTGGAAATGCTGGGTGACGGAACTTTTGGGACGTCACATTACCTACCTAACCAATCAGGCTGCTGACATGGCAGAAGGACAAGGGCACACAGCTACAAAAGGTCGCTGGGCGCCTACCCAACCTTTCCACTATATCCATCCTGGTTTACCTCACTCAGCCCTTCTGTTGCTCACAAGGCCTACTCTTACAGCAAAAGTAACAACGTTTCATACCGCACCCATTTTCTCTCGCAAATCCAACAATAAACAATGGCGCAAATGTCTTTGGAGGATTTTGAGAGGTTCGAGTCAAGCGCCTACAAATATGAGTCGTCTGGTCTCTCATCGCAGTTCACGCGGAGTGTCTCATGGACATACACACAAAAGAAAAACGGTGCCATCACTGTCGCCCAAGGCTTCAAAGCCGGAGACCCGGCTCGCAAATATGACACACTCCTCTTTCAATTCCCGAATTTGATGGGATATGAAACTCACTACATGGTATTCGACCTCGAACGAGGAGCTCCGTATGTATCTCCGGGGAAAAAAAGAAGGAAAAAATCTCCCCCAACCACATCGATTTCACCAAGTGCATCACTAACCCTCCCCATCTCCAGGGTCCCACTTCGCCATCCTCTACGACCTCTGCCTCTCCCGCCCCCTCCCCCCCCAACACCACCCGCGCCGAAGCGCTCCAAGCCGAGGACGCAGGCACGCTGGCCGCCACGTACGCCCACCAGGTGCCGCAGCGGCGGACGCCGGGGCCACAACGACGTGGTCGGGTTCCTCGCGGAGCAGGGCCCGCCGGCCCGCTTTCGCGGCGACGGATGTCATACGCTGCACCGTCGATACGGACGGGCATGGCGGGCCGAGTCTGCGGGCCGATGTGGTCGCCGCGCTGATTCGGGCCGGGTGGGAGGCGCCGAGTATGCATGTCACGTATGATATTACGGATCCGCCGAGGGAGGGGGAGTTGGAGCAGGCGAAGGAGCTGTTCCAGGCGCTGATTGATGTTGGGGTTTATTGTCTGCGAGCCTGAGTTGAACCAGGCTGCGATTGGGGTGGTTGAGGCGGCGTCGTCAGGCGGCTCGCTTCCTACGCTGGAGTATATCTTGACCAAGATCCCGTTGGATAAGATACCGGGATCTAGTTCGGCTCTGTATATCCCCTCAGCGGCGGCCCGGGGGATGAAAGGAGTTGTCGAGTTCTGGCTCGAACCGTGGGTTGGACCCCAACGTCATAGTCTTTTACTGCGACGCGCATCCGGACAGCGGGACGACGAGACAGGTGGCAATCGACTGTGCTATCCGAGGGGGCAACACCGAGGTCATCAAGCTTTACTGGACCGCGGCGCCAAGATGGTCAAGCTGCGTTAGGTTATGTTGGTTCTGAGGGCTCCGAGAGAGCCCACGTGTAGTCGTTCCACCAACTGTGCGACTCTGTTCTCCGCCTCTACCGCCTTCATGTACACCGACTCGCATCGTACAGCTTCCGCCGAGGCCTTCAACCGGGTCATAAGTCGCTTCAGAGCACCCAGTTGCAAAGCCATGAGGTTGCATACAAGCAGCTCCCATTCTGCAACAAACGGCTGAAAAAGGCGACGAACTCGACCCTGGCAAATTTGCGGCCGAGGCAAGCCCGAGGCCCTTCGTTGAACGTCATGAAGGTGCCCTTCCGGCATCCCGGGATCGGCACGGTGCCGCTCCGAGTCTCTGCCTCCTGCTCTGCAGTCAACGGCCGAGAGGGGTCTACTTTGTGGGGATCGCTGACAAGCCAGCGACGCGGCTCGATGATTTCAGGGCTGGGCCAGTTGCTCTCGGAGTAGTGGATAGCCGTGTTGTTGACAACTACCCCGGTTCCTGACGGAAGAACATGCCGAGATGCAGTGGATTGAGCTTTGGAGTCCCAATCATCCGTCCCGACTCGGAGATGTTGTTCGCCAACTGTGACGCGAGCCACGGGGAGCACGATGGGAAACACTCGCATCACCTCGTACTGATAATTCCCAGCATGCTGTTAGCTTTGAATCTAGGATATGTCCACCGGGGTCGCGGTGCGGCGGGTTCAAGCATCAACTTGAGGACGGCACACACCATGAAAGCTACAAGATACCGAAACTTGGGAAAGTCATCCGTGAAGGACAGCTCTGACCGCCCAGCTCGTTCGGCTTCTTCGCAGATGCGGTCGACTTCTTCAAATATGCGCTCCTGGATGTCGCTATAAAGAGACAGCACGATGCAACAGAACCACATAGTGTTTGCCGTCGTGTCATAACCTGATGATGATGCTGGGGTCAGTTATCATGATTTGGTACCCGATGAGGGATCTGGGACAATCCAATGTGGACTGCCGAGTCCACTTACCAGCCAGGAGGAAAATGAAGACATTCCCCTTGATCTCTTCATCTGTCAAGCTCGTTCGACCGATGGGGTTGTAGATCGAACCCCCCTTTTCCCTGGTCGGCTCCTGAGACGTTGAAGAATTCGCCATATTCGCCCGCAGCACCGCCGTGAGGAGGTTCTCCCTGCTGGACTCTCTAGCATCCGTTTGCAGCCTCACCCTCTCGGAAGCCAACAGCTCATCCATATACCGCTCAAACTCCACATACGCGCGATATGCAGCCTGCCACGGCGAGCGGCGGAGCGCCCACTTGGGCAGCAGCAGAATGTGAGGCAGGTGCATCACCACTCCGCGGATGGCTCCCACGACCGACATCTCGTGGCCGGGGCTCACCGCGTCCTGGCTGTCGACCCAGTCGCTCGCCTTCCCGAAGGCGGCCAGCGACATGGTGTTCACCGTCAGGGTGTAGATGTTGGTCTTGACGCTGGCGTCGGTGCTGGCGGCGCCGCTACGGCTCCTTGCCGCCGCCATCATGTCCACCTGTCGCCGGGTCTCCTCCCACACCGTGCGGTGGACCCCGTCCGCGGCCAGGGGCGGGAGAGTGATTCCCAAGTGGAAGCGCCAGAGGTTTCCGTCCACAGAGACCACGTTGGGGCCGAAGGGTTCGAGCATTTCTGGTTGCAGTGTGAGCTCGTCTACCTGTGCTCATCAAGGACGTGACAATAAGAGAAGTGGGGGGAGAAAAGAAGAAAAAACCACCCACTCATCTTCTCAGGGGGCTTAATGAAGGCCTTCCTCCGCATCACAACCTGCAGGGCCGTCTCCGCGTCGCCGACGTAGCAGACCAGCCCGCCCGGCGACACGACCAGGAAGACGGGGCCGAACTCGGCGTGAGCGCGGCCGCGGTCCTCGTAGTGCCAGTCCTTGACCATGAAGCGCGCCCACCGCGGCCAGCCGCGGCCATGCAGAAGGTAGTCGCGGTACCACCGTCGCAGCAGAGGGTCGGTTAGGTATGCGAGACCTTCCAGCTCGTGGATGGGCGAGAAGGTGTAGGGTAGGCCGGAATGGCGGGCTGTCTGCACATTGCGGAGGAGGCGGAAGGTGGAGGAGATTAGTTGGGCGGCAAAAAGGACGGCCGCGACGATGAGGTATGGTGCCATGGCTGGTGGTTGTTTGAAATGCAGTGAAGCTATTCAGGGGTAGCTTGTCTGCTGTGTCAGGGGTATCTGGAAAGCAGAAACGCAGTCAGTAGGCTGGTGTTATTTGCCAATCCGATATGCTCTTTCTGAAATACCTGCCTAACGAATCACTACCAACCCCTTTCTATGTATGAGGTGTTCCCATATTCGTTTAATGTGCGTTGTTATTCCTCTAAATCAACTTGGTATGCCTCCTTATTGGTACTCACTAATTAGGCCTTGTCCTTGGCTACTACCTAAGGTAATAGCGGGCTATATTGCGTGTGGGAGTTTATTGGGTCATCTTTCAGCAGCCCTGATTATGCATGGCGACTATCGGTCTTACCTACTTCAGGTCACACACCTCTGGGCTCGAACGGGACGGAGATTACCTATTTCGGTAGGTGCCGTGTCAGCCAGGCCCGAAGCATTGCGTCTCCTCCTCCTCCCGCAGCCGGTCGTTGCGCAATTCAGTCACCTGCATACCGACCCGGGACCTACCCAGAAGTCAAAAGTGGCCCAAGCCGATTAGCATGGCGGGCATGGCCGTCCATCCTTGATTTTTTGTCCGCCGGCGCTCCGGTTTTCTCATGATCCCGGTTACGCCGTTTGAGGCAAACAGCCGGTATGCACCTATCGATTATGCAGATGCCATAATGGGGGTCGCGGACTTCATTGATCTAAACATAGGTAGGTAGAGAGCTCATCCATGCTTGCTGTAACATTGCATTGTCGCCCCTCCTTCTGTGATTTGTAGATCCTTGTGAACGACAGATCTTGCAAATCATGGAAGGCTCAAGCATGACGCATCAGATCCAGTCGACTGTCGCCAGCATAGCTAAAGGCTGGGAGGCGCAAATCCAGAAATTGCTGCGCAAAGAGAACATGGACCGCCTGAAGGCCTTGGACTTCGAGATGGCACATGGTGAGCTGCTGGCCTCAGTGGGTTGTTTAGTAGGTTTCTCTTATTTCCGTGAATATCGTGCCTATGCTTACGAGCCTTCCCATCTTTGAAGGTGCTCGGCATCTGCGTTCTCCGCGTCGTATATAATCTATATTTTCATCCGTTGGCAGGATTCCCTGGTCCATTCTGGGCTCGAGCATCCCTTGTAAGTAGTGCCTCAACCCTTTCGGAGTAGTAATTAGACCTGGGTGCTGACTGCCGCTTCACCAGCTATGGCGTTTCTGGCACACGATGGGCGGGCGCTCTCACCGATCCATCCAGCAAATGCACCAGAGATATGGTTTGTTGACAACCGACCAGCCTTTCTAGGCACCAAAAGGTTAATCCAATGCTAACAAGGTCTGCCCCGACCAGGCCCCGTTTTTCGCGTCTCACCGAATGAGCTTTCTTTCGGATCGGTCAACTCGTGGAAAGCCATCTATGGCTTCCCATCCCCTGGCGCCGAGCATCTCATCAAGGGCGAGTTCTACGACATCTACGGCTCGGGCTTCAAGACCGGATGCATCGGATCAGAGCGCGACCCGGCAGTCCACGCTCGCAAGAAGAGGAACCTGACAGCTGACTTCTCGCCCAAGGCGCTGGCGGCTCAGGAGTCGATCGTGCAGGGATGCCTCGACCGGTTTGTGGACAAGCTAGGCCCTCTGACAAGAAAAGGTGGCGGGAAAGGCATCAACATGGCTGACTGGCTGGAGATGGTGGCCTTTGATATCTTGGGGGAAATGGCTTTTGGCGAGGGATTTGGCTGCGTTGAAAAAGGCATGCAAAACACTCACACACACATCACACATCCCACCTCACACAATCATGAAGCTCGACTGACTCTGGGCGGTGATGGCTAGAGGACCACCATGCCTGGCTTGATCTCATCCTCGGCCATCTGTTCGAGATCACGGTGGTAGACAATCTGCGACGGGTGCAATTCTTGGCTGCTCTGGGAAGATGGCTGTTGCCGTGGCTCACCGTCCGCGTGCGGAAGAAGCACTCGATGTTCAGCCGAGCGAAAGTCAAGCAGTCAGTTTTGAATCCCCGCCTTGCGCCATTTTATAAGGATGAAAGCTCATTTCTAATACGCGTCTCCCCCTTCCAGACGTCTCGAGGCCAAAACAGCCCGCCAAGACTTCCTCACGAACCTCGTGAGTAAGGTTCACAGCGGCGCCGTGCCAGAAGAAGAAATGACTGCCCATGCCTCCACACTGATGTATGTGTCTTCTGATTTCTCCCTTTAGACTCTATTCTTTACTGAAATGTCGACCCAGCATCGCCGGCGGCGAGACAACAGCGACGTGCATGGTTGCCGCTGTCTACTATCTCCTCAAATCACCTCCAGCCCTTGAGAAACTGGCGAGCGAGATCCGTACCCGGTATACTTCCTACAGCGAAATAGACGCCAACTCGGCGCTCCAGCTCCCGTATCTGCAGGCTGTGATCAACGAGGCCTTGCGAATCCACCCACCAGGGTCACAAGGGTTTCCAAGGGTGTCTCCTGGATGCGAGATCGATGGCTTTTGGGTTCCAAAAGGGGTGAGTTTACTTTCTAGACTGGGGACGAAGCCCCGCAGATTTTCTGATCGATCCAATAATGGATAGGCCGAAGTATACACAAGCGCCTGGACGGTCACCCATGACCCCAAGAATTTCCACGAGCCCATGGAATTCAAGCCCGAGCGATGGCTCGACCAAAAGACCACGGATGTGAAGGAGGCGAGCCAGCCCTTTTCACTGGGATACCGGGCATGTATTGGGCGCAAGTACGTCTCTCCGCAATTCCAAAAGGTACAAGCGAGATCTTGATTGGGAAACTAACTCAGCACGAAAGCTTCGCATACCTCGAAATGGCGTCGTGCCTATCTAAGATTCTTTTCAAATATGATATGGAGCTTGTGAACCACGATCTTAACTGGGAGGCAGCCTCTCGCTGCTACGTCATGTGGTGGAAGGCGCCGGTGATGGTATCTTTCAAGGAGCGGCTGCATGAGTCTTGAACGGAGGTAGGTAGGTAGGATGGTTGGTGCAGCATGGCGGCAGGGGTTCCTTGTGCATAAGCACTTTATTACTCCATCGTTGGGAGCTGCCGGATAAAAATAGAAATTGAGCTCGTCCGATTCTGGTAACCGCCGAAGGGCCCCTATCTCAATTCAAGCGTGTACGGTGCCGTGCCGAACCCGCCACTCTCCACATTGAGCCTTTCTAGACTGAGCCTTTCTAGACATGTACTGTGTGAGACCTACTTATGTAGGTATTGTACAGTACCTTAGGTAGGCCAGGGAACAGACCAGATTGGCGATTAAGTACCTCCAAGCTTGGATCCGCTAACCAGCTCTCACCCGCGTCTAGCTTGCATCAGACCCAGGTCCAAGTCTGTATTTCATATCGTCACAGCCAGGTCTAACTCATTAATACACGCAATTAAGAAGCTATTATTGGGTGTTCGTATTGACTTGGACATGACTTGGACATGCAACGTGCACCCATCAATGTAGCGAAGCCTAGAGCCTTTGGGTAGCTGAGTGACATCTGTAGTAGTGTGGCGGAGCTCTCACGCTCAGGGGTCGAGGCCAGCATGACGCTTCCAACCAATACTCGGCGACCCGGAGATGCGTCCAAGCTGGAAATATTGGCCAGATTCCATGGCGGAATCCATTTTAAGGTACCTTAGCCTCGCCTACTCCCAAAAAGGCCCAAGGGCGCTCACAATGCGTCTACTCACTACTGGACCTGACGGGATCCGCCCCCTCCCCGGCCCCTACCCAACGGGAAGGGAGACCCTGGCTGCACCAACGACCTTGCCGTCCTCACTGTTTGGTGGACACGCTAGGATTCTCAGCTGAAAGCCTGCCCATCAGGCTTATAAATAATAGCTCTAGTCTTTAGCGCATGTAGGTTACGGTTGCGCATCGCTCCATCGGATACCTGAGGGAGCTTCGAATTAGGGATGTTGACAACAGCAAGACCTGGAATCATGATGCTCTCTCGCCTCTTTTCACTGAGCCTTCTAGGCTCACTCGTTCACGCTTCATGTCCAGCCAGCAATAGGACAGCCGCGGCCATCGCGGCCTGCAATGCTCTCGCGGCGAGCTTCCCGACCCAGCTGTACCTGCCCAATACGACAGATTTCATAGACCAAGCAGCAGGTAAGCACCAGGGGCACAACCCCCTCCCCCTCCCCCTCCACCTCCAAGATTAACTCTACATGATTGCTTACGAGGGAACGACAGCCATCTGGTCACAGACGTGTCTGATCACGCCCAACTGCGTCCTCGAGGCCGGCTCGGCCTCTGACGTCGCTACGGCCGTGAAACTCATCAACGCCGCCGGATCTGAGTTTGCCGTACGCTCAGGCGGACACATGCCCGTCCCAGGGGCACAGTCCGTGCAGCCGGGCGTCATGATTTCCATGTCCGGGCTCAACCAGAACACGCTCAACACAGACAAGAGCGTCGCCAGCATCGGGCCCGGCCAGACCTGGATAGACGTGTACTCGCGGATCATCCAGTACGGCCTCGCCGTCAACGGCGGGCGCTACCCGTCCGTGGGGGTGGGCGGCCTGCTCGTGGGCGGCGGCATCGGCTTCTTCAGCAGCACGCGCGGGTGGAGGTGCGACAGCGTAGTGGCCTACGAGGTCGTCCTAGCCAACGGCCACGTTGTCACGGCCACCGCCGAGGGCGACTACGCCGACCTGTTCTGGGCGCTGCGCGGCGGCCACAACCACTTCGGCATCGTCACGCGTTTCGACGTCCTCACCTTCCCGGCGGGCCCGGCGTTTGCGCGCACGATCGCCTGGAACGCGAGTGCGGGAGCCGGGGTCAGCGATGCCTTCTTCGACGCGCTAGATGCATACATGGCCCCCGGCGGTGGCGTTGACGACCCGGACGTGGCCATCATCCCGACGGTGGCGTTCGCGCCGGGGCTGGACCTGTACGAGGTCATCACGGCCCAGATCGCCTTCGGCACAGACCCGGCCCCGGCGGCGTTTGAAAACTTTACAAAGATTGACGGCCCCACCACGCTCGACGACGGCGGCAAGGTGTTCGACTCGTGGACGTGGCTGCCGCTGGCGCTGAACGGGACCTCATCGAGGGACACCAGGGACTTCTTCTGGGCTGTCAGCTTCAAGCCAGATCCGAGGGCAATTAGCATTGCGAACAAGACCGTCATCGACCTGGCTGTGGGGGTGCTGCCGGCGACCGCGGCCGTTGCGTTTACCTATCAGCCCGTCTCCAAGGCCTGGCTTACTGCCTCGCAGGCGGCAGGGGGTAATGTTCTAGGCCTTGATCCTGAGGAAGGGACCATTATTGGTAAGAGTCCATCCATCCGTCCTCGACTTGTCCCCAGCTCCTGGTGGCTTTAATACATGCTGCCAAGTACTGACTGTCACACAGCTGGACTCATTGCTGGCCAGTGGGTCGACCCGGCGGATGACGACGTCATGTTTGCCTTTGCCCGAAATGCCACTGCGGAAATCGAGCGTCAGACCAAGGAGCTGGGCTTGTACCATCCGTTCATTTATCTCAATGATGCCGGGCCAGGACAGAAGCCCTTCGCGGCGTATGGTAGTGGTAAGAGTCTGCCGAAGCTGCTGAGCTTACAGAAGAAGTACGATCCCAAAGGTTTCTTCAAGAATTACCTTGCGCATGGGTTTGCACTAGAGTCATAATCAGGGGCTGAGAATAGCCTGGTGACGCCTTTCTTCAGTTACTGGCAGTGACCAAGGTACATGTACATACCTAGCTAGCATTAAGGGAGTTACTCCAGCGTGGACATATGCAACCAATTCAGGGCCTCTGATCAATGGCAGAGAAACTGAGCAAACTTGCCAAACTCCTCATCCCTCTCCAAGAATCCCATCTCCTCCTTCTTCAACGAGAGCAAGATATTATCAGTTCGTGTACCTGCGTCGTGGAAAAGGGGCAATTGTTTACCTTCTCCTCGGATTTCGTTTCCCTCATTTCCCACACGCCAACTGCGTTCGCAACTGTCCTCACAGCCTCATATCTTGGAGTAATTTTCTTTCCTTTTCGTGGGCCAAGATGAACGGCCATAGCAGTCCTTTCATCAACGCCACGGCGGACGGAACCAATGGCGTCCACGCAACACCGCCTCCCAGCGAGCCTAAGACTATGCCGCTGGCTATTGTTGGTATGGCCTGCCGCTTCTCTGCCGGGGTGATCAGCCCGGACAAGCTTTGGGAGCTCGTATCGCAAGGACGAGATGCGTGGTCCGAGGTGCCCAGCGACAGGTTCAACCAGAAGGCGTTCTACCACCCCGAGGCCGAGAGACTCTCTACTGTTAGTACTTTCCATCGCGCCCCCCCCCTCTCCCACCCCTCGCCCGGAATCCGGTTGTGGCATAATTTAATCTGGTTGTGCTCCATGTTCATGTTTTGACTTGGGATATAGTTACACATGAAAGGTGGCTTTTTCCTGCAAGAAGATCCGGGCGCGTTTGACTGCTTGTTCTTCAACTTGTCCGCCGACGTGGCAGCGGTAAGTTTTCCTTTTGGCTAGAGACGCCCGTCTCCAAACACCTGGGCGACGATGACACTTGGGATGGCGGCGTGGGCTGACTGGAGAGCTTGGCGCAACTCGTAAAATCAGGCCATGGATCCCCAGATCCGATTACAGCTCGAAGTCGTGTTTGAAGCGCTCGAGAGTGGTTTGTTTCCCCCTATTATCGTCCCCCGGTTGTTCCATAGACGCTGACGTTAACAACCCAGCTGGAATCCCACTCTCCAAGGCCGTCGGTTCCAACACCTCCGTGTATACCGGCTCGTTCACCAAAGACTACCATGACCTGCAGCTGCGCGACCCCCTGCATGCTTCGCGGGGTTTCGTCACGGGGAACTACGCCGCCATGCTCGCCAACCGTAGTTCTCACTTCTTCGATCTCAAAGGCCCTAGTACGGCGGTTGATACGGGCTGTTCAACATCCCTGATGGGACTCCATCTGGCCTGCCAAAGCCTGCGGTTCGGTGATTCGGATTGCGCGATTGTGGGAGGTACCTGCCTCAACTTGAATCCAGATGCCTTTGCAAACTTGTCTACACTCCAGTGAGAGAGAAACCTACAAGATCCCGATGAGCTACGCAGGCCGAGACCTGCGGCTCTAGCTAGCGAATCCATGTCTCTAACACCGTATCAGGACCTGCGGCGCAGAAGGCAAATGCTACGCCTTCGACCACCGCGCGCAAAGCTACGGCAGGGGAGACGGCATTGCGGCCATCATCGTCAAGCGGCTCTCCGACGCCCTCCGCGATGGCGACGCGATCCGTGCGTGGTACGTGAGACGGCGGTGAACCAGGACGGCCGCACGCCAACTATCACGGCTCCCTGCGCGGACGCGCAGCGGCGGCTGATCAGCCAGTGCTACAAGACAGCGGGTCTAGATCCCTTCGATACGTCCGTTGTCGAGGCGCATGGCACGGGAACTCGTGTCGGCGACCCTGCCGAGGCGAACGCCATCGGAGAGGCACTCGGCCGCCATAGGCCTGTTGGTAGCCCGCCGCTCTATGTGGCTTCCGTGAAGACGAATCTGGGGCACACGGAGGCTGCGTCGGGGTTAGCTGCTGTTATCAAGATGGTTATGTCCCTGGAACATGAGCATATCCCCCCTAGTCTGAACTTTGAGAAGGCGAACCCCGAAATTGACATGGAAGCGTTGCGAATCAAGGTAAGGCATCTTCTATGTTTGCTTAAATCCCCTAATCCAAGCTGCAGGAACGCATTGAGCTTCATCATTCACAATCCGCAGCTCACAGAAACACTCAGGTTCCTACAAGCCTCAAACAATGGTTATCACGGGGTGTTCGACGAGTCTCTGTAAACAACTTTGGCTATGGCGGAACAAACACGCACGTCATCATGGAAGAAGCCGGACACCTCGCCTCGCTAAACCAGACGAGCGGCGGCAGCTCCAGCGCAGAACGTCCAAGCCGGCATTTGTTCCTCCTCAGCGCGCGGGACAAGGCGGCGGTGAGCAAAATGGCCGCCAACCTGCGGGAACACATCGAGCGACAGCCCGACACGTACGCCGACGCTTCGTTCGCCGACTTGGCATACACTCTGTGCGAGCGACGGAGCAAGTTCCCGTGGACCTGGTCGACTTCCGCTGCCGATGCAACGGAGCTCGTGGCGGCCCTGGCAGACACTTCGATCCCGCCTGTCTCAAACATGGGCACTGCGCCGCGTTTGGGCTTTGTCTTTAACGGCCAGGGCGCGCAGTGGTTTGCCATGGGTCGAGAGCTAGCGGCTGCGTACTCAGTTTATGCGCAGACTCTGGACGAGTGTGATAGAATAATCCACTCGTTTGGTGCAAATTGGTCTCTAGTCGGTAAGTATCTCATCTCGTCCTACCTACCTACGTTAAATTACACGCCCGCAATTTGCTGACCCACCTCGCCCGGCATGACAGATGAAGTTAGCCGCGACAAAGAGACGTCGCGTGTCGACGAGGTCGAGTTCAGCATGCCGCTATCATGCGCCGTCCAACTCGCCCTGGTCCAGTTGCTGCGATTCTTCGGCGTCGAGCCGACAGCCGTGACAGGTCACTCGAGTGGAGAGGTCGCGGCTGCCTTCGCTGCCGGCGCCATAAGTCTGGACGAGGCCATGGCATGCACCTATTTCAGGGGCTCCATCAACGCCCGGCACTTGGAAGTCGGTCCCTGTGGCAGCATGATGGCTATTGGACTGGGCCTAGTGGAAGCTCAGACGTACCTTGACGACTTCACTCGCAGTGATGACTCGGACTCCGGCAAGGTCGTCGTCGCTTGCGTGAACAGCCCGTCAAGCGTGACCTTGTCCGGTGATTTGTCGGCCATCCGAGAACTGGAGGCCAGGTTTACTGCTGATAGCATCTTTGCTCGCAGGCTGAGAGTGCAGGCGGCATTCCACTCTCACCACATGCTGCCACTAGAGGAAGAGTACCGCCGAGTGCTAGTACAGCACATGAACAGGGGAAAGGATAGGGCCTTCGCACACGGCGTGATATTCGTGTCCCCTGTAACAGGGAAACGGATCGATGATGCCAACCAACTCGGCCCGGAGCACTGGATGCGGAACATGACACACCCGGTACTCTTCGCCCAGTCTTTCCAGAACATGGTTGCGACGGAGGACGGGCAGCAATAAGTCGACATCATCGTCGAGATTGGCCCGCACAGCGCCCTAGCTGGCCCCATCCGGCAGATTCTCAAAGGTGCACCGGGCGCTCAAAAGCCTTCCCGTTGTGTATGCGTCCAGTCTCGAGCGGGGCACGGATGCCGTGCGCACCATCCAGACTCTAGCTAGTCTCCTCGTGAAAAGGGGTTACCCCGCCAACACATCTCATATCAACGCGCCTCACGGGGAAAAGGGGCTCCGAGCCATTGCCGGTCTCCCGTCATATCCGTGGAACCACACCCAACGGTTCTGGCACGAGTCACGCACAAGTGCCGACCACAGGTTCCGCCCGTACCCGTCGCATGACTTGCTGGGGACGCGGGTTACGGGCACGAGCGACAGGTCCCCGATCTGGAGGCACATAATTCGCGGCGGGGAGCTGCCTTGGGTGCACGAACACGTCGTTCAGGGCGACACGGTGTATCCGGCCGCGGGCTTCATCGCCATGGCGATCGAGGCAATGCGCCAGCTTCACGACGCCGATGCCGATCGTGTCTCTGGATACCTCCTTAGTGAGGTGGAGATTCTGAAAGCGTTGGTCCTCCCCGAGAGCGAAAAGGGGGTGGAGGTGCAGCTTTTCCTCGAACCAGCCAACGAAAAGACGCTGGCCTATGGCAAACGCCTGTTTCGTATCTACTCTGCCCAGTCTGAAGTAGAGGGCTCGTGGGCAAGGGGGCTCATCGCTGTCGAGAAAACGACTGGATCGGCATTGGACTCGTCGCGTTTGCGGTCGACAAGCAGTATCAAGTTCGACGCCGCCTACCCCAGGAGCATGAACCCAAAAACTCTGTACGACGCATTGCAAGCTGTCGGCGTTAGACATGGCCCGTCTTTCCGGAAACTTTTGCATGTTCGCAGAGGCGAGGACGAGTCGACCTCAACATTCGAGATTTGTGACTCGGCGGCCCTGATGCCATATAAATACCAACAGACCCATGTCATCCACCCCATCACGCTCGACGCTGTCTTCCAAGCCGCCTACACGACTCTTTCTCCAGAGGCCCGAAAGATGGTTGGTACAGCTGTGCCCACATCTATCAAGTCGCTGTACATCTCCTCGGCCATCAGCTCCAAGCCAGGAGACCGTTTTGACGCATATGCTCGCCTTCTCAACCAGCACCGCCAAGGGTTTGAAGTAGCCCTCGCTGTGCTCGAAGAAGGCCTGGATGCATCGGCGAGACCATCTAAACCCCTCATCGAGGTGGATACTATGAGGTTCACGTCTGTCGGCAGCTCCATCTACGACTCCGACACCGGCCTAACCGCTGCGGCTTCCCATATCTGCGCCTTCATAGACTGGGAACCAAGCCTCTCCCTCAACAACCCCGTAACTCAGTGGGAGAGCCGTCTCCAACGTCCAGCCGACCCAGCCGAGAAGACCGTCGCCCAGGACCTCATCCGCGCAGCCTACTACCTCATCGCCGACGCCGCCGCACAGCTCACCCCGAGCGACACGGCCAACCTCTCGTGGCACCACAAGTCCCTGCTCCGGTGGATGCGCCTCCAGCTGCAGCTCGCCGCGTCCGACACCCTCGCGCCCCGCAGCTCGAGGTGGGCGCGAGCCACGCCCGGCGCAAAGGCCATGTTCCTGGACCGCGTGTCCGGCGCCAGCACCAACGGCGAGCTGGTCGTCCGCGTCGGCCGCAACCTGCCCGCCATCCTGCGCCGAGAGGTGGCGCCGCTGGAGGTCATGCTCGAGGGCGGGCTGCTGTATAGGTTCTACGGGGACATGCTGCACTTTACGCACTCGACGGCGCAGCTCGCGCAGCTGGCGGGCGCGGCGGCGCGCGACAACCCGAGGATGCGGATCCTCGAGATCGGGGGCGGGACGGGAGGATGTACGGGGCCGGTGCTGGATGTTCTCGGGGCGCTCAGTGGCGGTCGTGTGAATGCCGTGGGGTTCGAGCACTACGACTTCACCGACATCTCGTCGGGGTTCTTCCAGGCGGCACGCGAGCGGTTTGCGGAGTGGGGCGACTTGATCAGCTATGCCGCCTTGAACATCGAGAAGGATGTTGTCGAGCAAGGGTTCGAGGAGAAGAGCTACGACCTCATCATTGCGGCCCAGGTGTTGCACGCTACCAAGAGCATGGCCGTGACGATGCGGAACGTCCGCAGGTTGTTGAAGGACGGAGGCAAGCTCTTGCTGGTTGAGACAACCAGAGATACCATCGACGGGCATCTGATATTCGGAACCCTGCCCGGTTGGTGGTTAAGCGAGGAGCCGGAGAGGAAGCTGAGCCCCAATATGTCCCTCGAGACGTGGGAACCCATCCTAAAGGGCGCCGCCGGCTTTACAGGCCTGGACCTGAACGTGTGGGACTGTCAAGACGAGCAACATCAGATGATGAGTGTCATCATGTCAACGGCCATCCCTGAAACTCGGCCAGTATATGAAGACCAGGTGGCTCTTGTCTACGATAAAACGACACCACCACCACCACCACCCTCCGAATGGCTGCAAGGCCTTGCAGCGAGCATCAAAAAGATCACCGGCGTGACGCCCCCTTTGGCAGAACTGACGGAGCTCGACGTCAAGGGGAAGATTTGCATCTTCCTGTCCGGGCTCGACGGCGCGCCGCAAAAGATAGACGGGTCCAACTTCGAGGCCATCAAGTCGCTCACGACCAGCTGCAAGGGCCTCCTCTGGGTCACCTCCGGGTCGGCTATCGACTGCCCCGTGCCGGAGAACGCTCTACATACCGGCTTCCTCCGCACCTGCCGAGCCGAAGACGGGAGCCGTCGGTTGGTGTCGCTCGACCTCGACCCGGCCCGGGAGCCATGGGATCCGGTTTCTCAAGCTGTCATTGCCAAAATTCTAGCCACCGCCTTTGACGACTCCGAGTCCACCAACAACTCCACTCCTCCAGGGGAATTTGAGTTCGCCGAGCGCGGAGGCACCATCCTAGTCTCCCGGCTGCGCCGCGACGCAACCGAGAGCGCATCCTACGCCAACACCCCCGGTGAGCCCGAGATGCAACCTTTTGTACAATCGGGCCTGGACGGCCGACAACTGAAGCTAGAAGTCACGAAGCCAGGACTGCTCGACAGCATCGTCTTCCGAGACGACGAGGACGCCGGCCAGCCGCTGCCCGACGACTGCGTGGAGGTGCAACCGCGCGCCTACGGCATCAACTTCCGCGACGTGATGGGCGCGATGGGCCAGCTCGACGAAAGGCAAGAGCTCGGCGTCGAGTCCGCCGGCGTCATCACCCGCGCCACCGCCGGCGCCGCGGCCCGCGGCCTCTACGTGGGCGCCAGGGTCGTCGCGCTGACGCCGCACGGGCACATCGCGGCGCGGGTGCGCGCCCCCTGGACGTCGGTCGCGCCCATGCCCGACGACATGGAGTTCTGCGAGGGGCTTGCCATCGGCGCCGTGTTCGTGACGGCCTACTATTCCATGTTCGAGGCCGCGCGACTGGAGCTCGGCGAGACGGTGCTGATCCACGCGGCGTCGGAGGGGCGTCGGGCAGGCGTGCATCATCCTCACGCAGTGGAAGGGGCTCGAGGTGTTTGCCACCGTCGGAACGCCCGAGAAGCGCGCGTTCCTGACGCGGACGTACGGGATACCCGAGGAGCGCATCTTCAATAGCCGTGATCCGTCGTTTGCGCCTGGGGTCCTGGCCGCCACGGGCCCAGCGGGGCGTCGACGTCGTGATCAACTCGCTCGCCGGCGCACTTCTGCATGAGAGCTGGGGCGTCCTGGCAACCCATGGCAGGTTCATCGAGATCGGGAAGAAGGACATCCACCGCAACATGTCCCTGGATATGGCGACTTTCCGGAAGGCTGCGAGCTTCATTGCCGTCGACGTGGTGCAGCTTTGCGACTACCGGGGCCGCGTCGTGCACCGGGTGCTAGCCGCGGTCATGGAGCTACTAAGAAACAAGACGATCCGCAATATCGCACCCATTGTCACGTATCCCATGGCCGAGATCGGCCGCGCTCTGCGAACCATGCAGGCCGGGAAACACATGGGCAAGATCGTGGTGGTGCCTGGAGTCGGCGATATGGTCAAGGTCAGTGGCATCATATCACCACAGTCGTTGGTGGTATTCATACGACATTCGTGGAACATGGCTAACTCGCGAATTCGGTGCAGACCCTTCCTAGGAGAGACGCTGCACGGTTGTCTCCAGATGCCTCTTACCTCATCGTTGGGGGATTGGGTGGTATCGGCCGGTCAATCGCGCGCTGGTCCGTCGATCGTGGGGCCAAGAACCTCATCCTGCTCTCGCGAAGTGCGGCCACTGGTCCGCACTCACAGGCTCTGGGGGAGGAGCTAACCGCCATGGGAGCCAACGTGGTGACCAAGAACTGTAACGCCGCAGACATGGCCAGTCTGAGATTTATCCTCGATGAGTGTGCAAAGACGATGCCTCCGGTGAGAGGTGTAATTCACGGTGGCATGGTTCTCAACGTGAGTTACCCCTGAATCACCCAACTTTTTTTTTTATACCTCATTGCCCCTTGCCTCCCCGTTTAAAGTTGGAGTTACGAAAGGGTCAACTTCCTAACTTGCCGGGGGGGGGGGGGGGGGGGGGGGGGGGGGGGGGGGGGGGGGGGGGGGGGGGGGGGGGGC